CCTCTTGCAATTTCTTCCACTTTTTAAATGTATGCTTATTATTACACATTCCAACACTTAAAAACCAAAACTAAACTCTGCACAGCTCCATTATTCTCATTCTGAAACAGAGGTTGGGCTTCAATGAACCATCGTTTCTGCCAGTCACCACACTGTAAGTCAAAGTATTTTGTTAGTCAAATCATCCTCGTGCTTTGATATTCACATTCATGTCCGAGGTAAACACTTTCTTTCAGATTAAGGTGCTATTGGGGTTGGGAATAAATTAACATCATCAACATCTAAATGTTATGTACAACAGAGATTAAAAGGTTTTCTCAGTTAGACTGTACACTTACAGTGATAAGTGATCATTTACGATACATAAATTATGCATTTTGTTTTGATAGTGTTGATACCTTGTCAACAATTTATTGATCTATTACCTTAACCACTGATGGCCTGAATCTTCAAAAAAAAAATAAAAAAATAGATAAATATTTAAAATGCTCTGGCATACCTCAAGAAGAGCTGTGCTCTTGTTCCATCACAACGATGATTGATCTAACTCTGGTTATCAGTAAAATACAACAACCTGTATTTTTCTTAAAATACAGAAAATGTATCCGGATAAGCTTCTACAGGTGAGAATAAAGACAATGGTCAGACATCCACTGAAAACTACTTTTTTGACTTTGCTAATATTTGACGTGGGTGTGGTGACGTATATCAACCTTATTTGCAAACAGTCCTGACTTCAAGCTTCAGTGAGAATAAGTCTTTTTGGTATGGTGTAGGTAATAAACGTGTCAACGGGACAAAGGTAGATTTTGACCGACTTAAACTAAATATAGAGCAACTATAATGTTTTCTGTTGAGAATCAGAATAACGGAGCTGTGGTTAACAAGTTTAGTGTACAAACATCCACAACACAGTAATGTTTCCTTAACCAAAATATTCTCCTCAAAATGTGAAAAAGCAAAAAGTAGTCATAGTGATGTAAACTGCCTCCGCAGCAGATTTAAAAGGAAACACATTCAGAGCCCAGTTTTGTCGGACACATGTAGTAGTTGCACCGGGTGTATAAATATATTTAGTTCTTATTTCTCTGCAGGGCCTCACACAGGTTGTGGTTCGGATCAGGCTCTTGACTCATGATCTCGACACACTCCCATTCTCCACTACAGCTGGACCGTTTCACTGCCTCGACCACCGTCTGCACATACAGACCATCCTCAAATGTCGGTGCCATGGCAACCGGTCCTCGTGCCCACGACCTGCGCTCCTCGTGAGCCTGAAAAGACTGTCTCAGTGCCTTCACCATGGAGCTCAGCCCCTGCAGGTGAGGCAGGGGCATTTCTTTCACCTCTGGTCCCACCCACCCACTGTCGCCTAGCAACAGCTCCTCACCTTTACTCCCATTGCGCTGACCATACAGCTCTGTCCCTCTGGCAACCAGTCTCCCAGTGGATCCAACTATCATTACCTCGTGCACAAATGACCCTGGCATGTTGAAATTCAGGGTCACAGTGCAACAGACGCCACCAGAGCTCGACCCAGCTCCACCCATCAACATTTGGAAGAAACAAAAGTCGTCACTGGTGACACGGCGGATGCCTCGGATCAGACCATTTTGTTGCACAAAGGTCCGCAGCAAGCCATGAACACGATGGGCTCGTGCACCGGTTAGGTAACTTAAAAGGTCAATGATGGCAGAGCCAACAGTGTGCAGACCGCCTCCTCCCATCAGCTCCTCACATGTCCAGCCGTACGACTGATCCAGGAGGCTGGGGCCATAAACTCGAACATCGCACACCTGCATTTCGCCAACATATCCCTCCACCAGCAGCTGCCGCATTGCAGCAAAAGCTGGCAGGAAGCGCAGGGTGTTACCCATAATGCTGAGCAGCTGGGGGTAGTATCTGGCTGCAGTCACCATCTTGAATGAATCCACAGCTGTTGCAGCTTTCTCACACAAAACATTCTTACCTATACCTGCAGAAAGAGAGAGAGAGGGAGAGAGAGGGAGAGATGGGGGTTATTTTATTTAGATAAAACTGATCAATAACCTGAGAATGAAAACTAGAATTTTAAATTTTAAAGATAAAATCTCTTCTATGATTTTTTGCCTGTCTTGTATTGCAACAAGAAGAAAAGGTTCATCAATTGATTTCCTTCTTTGAATTAATCATTTATGTAGCTGGTGAAGGTGGTTCTTAATCTGCATTTAAGTAGGAAGGAAGGTTTTACACAGTTTATGTTTTGCATACTATTTTCATTTGTATCAATGAGGGTAGACAACATTTTAGAAACAGCTCTCAGAATAGTGCAATACAAACCAGCAGCCTAATTATTAAATGCCTCTAAAACGCATAAAGAAATGCTTTCGATACCCCTTGAAGTAGCGCAGTGGTTAAGTCCTTTGGTGGGGACACACTCAGGAAGTTACAACTAAAACAGGAAGCTGAGGTCAACACTCAGGAATTCATCAGATACAGTAAGTTAACTTTATAGATCTGCTCTCCTCTGATAACGGCAGTCTGTTAATTGTGTTTAAAAGTTGTTTGTTTTGGGTTTTTCCTCCTCAAATTAGTACGTTCCCTGTGGCCATGGCTTTGATCACCGTTAATCACACATCAAGCATAAACCCTGAGAAATATGTTCCCGAAGAATGCAGCCATTTTCAGTGCAGCATCATTTGGGGAGTACTGTCATTACAGTCCCAAACATTTCAAATATGTTCCAGCGCCGACCCGCCACTCCCAGCTGGGTCAGTCCACATTAGCAATTTGTGACTCAGATGCAAATAAAGTGGAAACTGAGACATGAACCTGGCGTTTAGGAAGAAAACTGATCTCATTTGAGTTATTATTCAAATAAAAAGAATATATTTTTACAGTAATCCTGTATGTTTTATGGCTTTAGGGCGGAGTGACTGCATGTATGTAGTCTCTGCTCACCCAGTGCTTTGACAGCAATCTGCCTCGTCATTGAGGGGGGAATATAGATGCAGACGAGGTCGACATCTTGGTGCAGCAGGACGTCATCAGATCGGCTGGTGTGAAACGGGATGCCAAGCTCCTTTGCCAAGCAGCACGCTTCCTCTTCACTTCGCCCCCAGAGTGCGTGAACCTCAAAGCCTTCAGCTTTCAACAACGGGACCAGCACTCGGGCTGTGCTCCCCGTGCCAAAAACACCGACTCCTGGCAACATGGCAGTGCCACTCACTGCGACCTTACGTATTAACCATGGCCAGCCTCACAAACGTCCCAACAGCCTACGGCTCACTCGTCTGTCACGGTCCTTACTGTGTCTGGAAATCAAGAAGAGCTTATTGTACCTGTAAAGATAAAAGAACAGAGTAATGAAGCCAGGTGGCGTGGACAAAATGTTACACTATTTTCATACAATACTTAAACGTAATGTGTGCAGTAATTGCCAACAAGTTCAGAAAATCACTTTACTTTAAGGCTTTAAGATCAGACATTAAGGCATTTAATCTACCAAAATGTTACAATAACCAAAACCAACTCGTCTCACAGCACAATAACTACATTTATCTCCCAGCTCTACGGACTGTACCAACAAACAGGACTCCAGTGGAGGTCTAGACTAGTTTCTCTTATCAGCAGCCTGTGACAGCTACTTGCATTGTGTCCTGCTACATAGTTAACATGCCATTCCTCAGATGTTCCACACCCACCAAAGTCAACGTCATCTCTGAAGCCAGAGCAATTCATGTCTGCGTGTTGTGTGACCGTATCCAGGTGAAAACAGTCAGTCAGTGGCATTTACGTACAAAAACCGTGCACACAGAACAGCTGAATTTATCAACAAGTTATCTAATCACATTAGATAGCATTCATCCTTCACTAAGAGCTACTTGTTTAGTAAGTTAAATATGAAACGGTGTGTGGCTCAACTCACCTGAGGCCCTTCCTACACTGCACCTACCTAATCTGTCAGGACCTGCAACTGTTGTGTGGATTGAAGTCATCCATGTATTGTTAGACCACAGTTGTTCTGTGTGTTGGGAGCACCTGCCCACGGTATTATTTACTTTAGAGAACGAGGTTCAGATGAGCTAATGAGGTTATGAATAATATGTATATATATGTATGTATGTATCTGACGCTCACAGCAGCAGCCTGTGCACCTGCATTACCTCTGTAACCTACAAACACTCTTTCTCCACCCTGCTTCCCTTCAGGACTCAGACAACAAACATACATGTACTGACAGCAGTTGAATCTCTCTCTCTCTCTCTCACACACTCACAGACACACACACACACACAGACACACACACACACAGAGTAAAGCCACCTAGCTGTGCTGTGTTGCTGTCGGATGTTCAGATAACAAAGCCACGCCACACCAAAGTGTCGCTGTGGCGATCAATGGTAGTTGGACATGAGCCATCATTTTTACGAAACCATAAAGTAACGTTAGCGGAAAGTGGCCACTGCTTCAACTATTATAATATAATATAATATATGTCTGCTTATCTTAAAGTCCACACTGCAAACTAAGCTAACTAGTGATAGCACGTTCAGCTAGCCGGGCCAGACAGCCGCAAAGCGAACTCAAACCTCCATTAACGTAACGTTAGGTACTTTACTGTAGTTTATAGCCAAACTTAATTAATCTAACGACCTTTTAAACGTGGCATAAAACAACCCGTAAGGAAGTGTAACTTTAGGTACCTACTGAATCTCCCAGGACAACATCGACAGCGGCTGTAGCTGCTCCGCCGGGCGCTGCCCAGTTGCTAATGGTAACTTCAGTACAACGGCAGCGCTGAGCGGAGGACCGGAGATACTACAGGCTGGAGAGTGGTCACCAACAGAGGATACACTGAGAGTGGTCACCAACAGAGGA